CTATCAATTGAACAATTTCCTGAGCACAATGCAACTACTGGGAGTACTTGAGCACAGCACTGTACTGAGATTTAATAGCATATTTGAAGGTTTACCTAAAACAGTAAGGAAAACAGATAGCAGAGAGAGAAAAGAGATATGAGTATTGTACTACAATTTGTATTGGAAGTTGATGCACAAAATTTATTTGTTATAGTTAAAAGCTCATTTAATTAAGATTACTTCGCAAGTTAGGCAGTACTGATGGACGCTATAAAGAACTTAAAGACACCATCAGAAAGTAAATACTCTCACACTAGTACTGACACCATTACCTTCCTTATAGAGCCACACCTCCTCTAATACCATATTTGGCATTGACTATGAGGGAGCTGGTTAGTGTGTCCAAGAGTGCATCAAACTATATTGAAGGAGATTTGGTTAACTTTACTAAAATGAGAAGAGTAAGTACCAAGAATAATACTGATAGCATTCAAATGCATCTTTTGACTTACATCATAATATTTAATAATTGATACCAGTAGTCTGTACTTTAAATTGCATAAATTATTTTTTACTTTTCTACAGTACACAAGAATCATACACAGTCTTTTACAGCATCAGAAAGACCCTTATGATTTTAACTTTGATCCTGAGGTACATCAATTCTTTAGCTACAGAAACAATTTATTTTTAACATTAATAGATATTGAAAGTATTGCTGACAACAGAGTTGCCAGGAGATGAGAATGCTCTTTATGAATATGTCGATGAGCTTAGAGACCGTCCTTTATAACCTTCTTCCTCATCCTCCTCTTCTTCTGAACAGTAGATAAATGCATTATCATTATAACACTTCATGTGTTTCAAACATGTTAACTTTATACTGTCTGTTTTGTTATATAATAATTTTCACTATAATGAGTGCAATGCATATTTTTATCAATTACTTGTTTTGCATCTACAATTAAAGGGTTTTAAGGCTTAAAATTGTTTGCTTTTTATAGATGGATTCAGGCCTTATATATACTGTGTCATGCACTGATTGATGATATTGGGGTAGTTGGCATTGTAATACCTATACTGGTATTAGCATACTGAGTTGGTACCACAGTCACAAACCAACCGAAAATATGAATTACAGTAGTATGCGAATAATTTTTATTAGTATTACAATGCCAACTATATATCCCACAATCATCAATCAGTGCACTGTACATACACACCTAAAATATCATTAGTGCTATTTAATAATGCACTTCACTTTTTTTATTGTGGGGTTAGACTAGGCATGGTCAGCTTTGTTTGGGCAACCCATAGATAGTAGAATAAAGGAATCAGTAATGGCATTAGTAAATTTGAAATCAGTAAATTGGTAAGTTATTAGTAATAAGTAAATGAATTAAAACTACTATACTGCTATACTATATTACTACCTATGGACACTTGCCAAACTAGGAACAATATCTAAAAAATCAAGTGTCCTTCTCAGTTGAGGCTCAGATAGTTGTGGCCAATCATGCATGTAACTTTTAAGGGAGAGTAGATTATGATAGAGCTCCAACTGCCAGAAACAAACAACGGCTATTTTCTAAATACAGTTAAAGGGTTTTATTGTTTTAAAATTTCTTACTTTTCATAAATAGAATAAGATAGTGGGATAGTTGGTATTGTAATACATATACTGGTACTAAAATATGGAGTTAGTCATTGTCACAAACCAAACATACTCCAGTAGTATGCTAATAATTTTATTAGCATGCTAATATTACACATGCCAACTGTCCCACAATTATCAGTCAGTGTACATTACATACACACCTAAAATAACAATGGTGCCATTAATGCACTTAACTCTTTTATTGTGGGGCTAAACTAGATAGGCTTGTCAGTTTAATAATCACGATCATAGACGTTGTGATACAATCATAATATCTATTATGATAGATATTCTGATATTATCATAAATATTAGATGCGAGTCATGATCATAAATTATAGAGTACTCTATCTATGTCATGCTGCAACAATGTTACAATTGTTATGATTGCCATGGATGTTTTGATTATGATTGCCAACCAGTAAACTCCCACTGCCAGAAACAAACAACAGCAACTTTTAACCTACATTATGCTGATTTTTCACTACCTGTTGAGCTTCATGGTCTTGTCATCAAATGGTCAAGTTGAACCTAATTGCCCTTTAAGTAAGCAAAAGAGAGTCTACATATTAAACATAACTATTTACATGTAGAGACCATCTGTTTAGGTCACAGCACTAACAGAGTATCTCAAAGTCAAGGAGGAACTGTATCCAGTATT